CTACTGTCTATATGTACATATCTATCGATACATTATTCCAGTCAACTCCATGACTGCCAAGGCAAAAATAAATGCAAGCTCATCTTAGGCGTCAACTCTCTATAGCAGACAAAAGGAAGATTCCACCTCACAAGCAGATCTTAATGCGCCAGAACTGGCATCCTGTCTACTGAGCTGCAACTCTGAATTCCAGGAAGATCCCATGTTCAGCTTAGCTCTTTATTCAACCTTCGTGTCCCTTGATACTTTGCTTCTTTTTAGTTTGGAGGCTATTGTGAGACAGATTCTTACTCTGTAGCCCAGGTTAGCCTCCAATTCAACACCAGATCCTTCATTCCTTACCTCCCTGAGACTAGGATTACAGGCACACTCACCAAGTGTGGTTCCCTTTGCGGCCGTGAGCTTTTCCAGATCCAGTGGAACTATCCCATCTATTGCCAGCACCTTGCCAGCATCTGGCAACTTGCCAGGTTTGAAAGCTTCTATTTAATTTCCCCCTCTATCTTTATGTCCTGCTTTCCTTCCAGTGTTTTCTCCTCCCTCCATCTCTTCTGTCTTTCCACTAAGAAACATATTTAAGCAAAGGAAGCTTCCTATTGAAGAAGAGTGGCAAATGTTTTACCTATGGACTTGGCCTGCTGATTAAATTAGTAGTAGGAGTTTTCATATTTACTTCTGCATATAAGTGGAGTGTCCCTGTTTTGATATCCCTGTTCCTGAAGCCTTCCAGTGTCTTCTTAAGGTTTCGTGGCAGTTCTCTCTGTTTATGCCATGTGAGGTATCCCAAAGCAAATTGCAAAGCCAGAAAGTAGCCCCACTACCTCCTCCAAGTTTATCTTTATTCCTGCAGAAAATCTCTTCCAGAATAGCTGTTTTTATATAGCTCTCTGCAGCATCCTTAAAACTATAAAAATGAAAGACTGGGGTCTAAGGACATATTCTATATCACATGTACAAAAGCATGACAATAAGTTCTACGAACATCATTATGCAGAACTCAGTCATAGTTTCCTTCTGATAGAAGCATTCTGTTACATGTGGATTAACAGTAAAGGCTCGGGCTTCTGCAGCTTCATCCACTAAGAAACTTTGAATACATGTGTTTTTCTTCTCTGTCCCCAACATGCAGTAGACCCATGCAACTGTACTAAAGAAGAAAGTCATGTTTGGAAACATATGCTGTTTACAAGAGTGTGAATGTACTGAATTTTAGGAGACAGATGTTTTTAATTTCCAGTATGTTGTGTGTATCTTAATTCCATTACTTCTCCCAAAGTATTCCAAATTTATAATAATGAATGTATGTCTAATTTTAAAATTTTACTGTCTATTCCAATAACATATCTTTAGTGACTCTAAAGGCTTAGAAAATGTATGCTTTCAAAATAATGCTGCTTGCAGTAAAGTAAAAATTATGTCTAAGGGCTGAAGAAAATTGAGGTCCTTTCCATTCTTTTTTCCATATGCCTCCAGTTATTTCCCATAACAGGAATGAGAGCTTATTGATTGGTACCCCGTCTCTCCAAGGAACATTTTTAGCTCTCTGATATAAATTATCTAATGTCAGAGAAATGGTAATGGAATGCCCTCAAATGTGTCCATCATATCATGGAATAATTAGGATAATGTAAAAGATAACTCATGGTTTTGTTCATTTGGAATGCTTCAGAATATAATGTGCTTTTGATGGACACCGAAATCAGGATTATTTTCTAAAATTTAATAATTAATCTCAAAGTTCATTTTGTCATACTTCAAGCAATGCCATGCAGAGTTAATAATGTGGAACTATTAACAAATGAGTTTTTAGCTTAACAGACTTCCACCTAGTAAGCATTTTCTTACTTTACAAAGTAAAAAATACATTTTTAAAATGTTATTTCTGAAATTGTGGACGTTTTGTTTGTTTGTTTTTTGTTTTGTTTTCAACCAGAAAATAAGACCTAAAAGTAGTCTAACATGTAGTATATTTTCAAAACTCTTTCTCCAGGATAACAATGCCTCTGAATTTCATCATGACTTCTCTTAGTTAAATATAAGGTTAAGGGAGAAATTAATTGGATTGCACAAGTCAGTCAATGTGTTTGAAGTAATGTTGGTGAAGCCTCTTTTTTCAGGTGACTAATTTAGTTTGTTGGTCTAAATTTCTTCCTTTGACAAAAAAAGCAGAAATGCAATGTAACATTAAGAAATACAATTTCAGGAAGATATGAGGACCACAAGTTACAGTGTAAATTGGTGTCTTGAAAATGATGCTTGCGGAATGAAGGAAGAGGAGACGGTGACAGTATACTCGTGTTGAGCTGGGGGAGAAGGGTCATCTGAATCTGCACATGAACAGGACAGAAGAGGATGGCAAGTGTCACCTTTCATGAATTTTTGACTTATTTTTGGAAACAGGATGTCTCATCAAACCTGAAACATACCATTTTGTCCAGGTTGGTTGGCTGGATACTCCTAGGATCCACCTATCTCTGCTCCAACTTGGGGTTACAGGCATAAATGATCATGCTCAACTTTGACACAAGCACTGGGTATTTAGTTCAGGTCTTCTTGCTTTGAGCAAACACATTTTCCTCCCTGAGCCATCTCCATAGACTTGCTCATTAATTTTTAGAAATTGATATGAACTGAATTTAATACAAGTAAAAGAATAGAAACATAGATTCTAAGATAAGGTATCTTTGTTTTATTTTACTTTATTTCCTTTTTTATTTTCAATGGCCTTTCTATTGGTATCCTTTGGGGAAAATATCTATCAGCTGAAATGCTTTAATTAAAAAATACTGAGATTGTATGAACATATTTGGAGAATGCTGGAATCCACAGCATCTTAAACAATTAGTAAGGGGGCATTTGGGTTGCTTTAATTTGTCTGTGGAATAAAATTATCATTTTAAATGAATATCAATGTTTATGTTAATGTAACTGACTTTTGGATAAACTGGTACTATGCATACATGTGTTGGGGGATGGTCATAAAGAGAAGGATCTACAATTACTCAGTGGTACAATTTGTTAAATAAAGCAGGTAATCAGCTTGGTTTACATGGATTTTTATCTGCAATAGGAAATATTGCTGAAAGTCATTGCAATGAATAGAGCAGGAGTAGCTAAAGGCTTGCCCCAGGCACCAGCCTACAAGAAAGTCTGAAGATTTGGAGACAAGAAATGACAATTATCAGACTTTACTCAATGAGACAGTAACATATTGCTAAACTACAGGGTGAAGTGATACTCACTACAAAGATGCATTTTAGGAAGTAATGAAGTATGATTGCTTGCGGTCCAAGGCAAAGGACAGAGGCAGAAGGCAGAAACCTCATGTATTCCAGATCAGATGGGTGACATACGAGATCCCACTAAGCCTTTAGTAGGCTGTATAAGGATATAAAACAAACAAACAAACATCAAATGGAACCAGAGGACTCATATGTGGCTCATTTGGAAAGGAATCCAGGATTTTCTTCAGCGTGGTCACTTTAGAACGTTCTTATTGGATACCACTTTATCTTCAAGTAAATAAAAATTGCAACAATCCTTGGATATGTTTTTCTTGGGCAAAAAATTATATTACCTTTATCCATATCTTCATCTTGCTCAACAAAATATTAAGAAATATTTCAGAAATGAAAATATGATTTTTAAATAAAAACTATACATTTTGCCAAAATTACTGTAAGAACAATTATGTTATGTATGAGATTATTTAATGTGACAGTTTGTTCTTGTTATTTGAAGAAAATGTATGGTCCATTCACATAGGACAGTAAAATGCTTATTTTAATGGAACACTTTGTTGCTTTGGCTCTTGCTTCAACTTCTCCCTGTATGAGCTTCTGAGAATGACTAGCAAGAATCAGACTTCAGCGTAGTCCATGCATGGTGCACCCCAGTGCAGTTCATGCAGGGTAGGTGGGACCTTAGTAGTGATTTTAGCTATTTCAACAGCCTTCATATGTAGTCATGTGGTATGGAGAATAGAGACTAAAGAGAATACGTCTGTCTGACATTCAGATATTGATGTGTGCCAGGGAATCAAGGATGAAGCATCAGTTATCTATTGAGGACCTACTCTGTTCTAAAATTTGTATTACCCTGGGAAAAGAATATTCTATAACCCAAGAATTTCACAACAAAAAAGGACAGGCTTGGACAAGGGTCTTAGTCATCCCTTTCATTTTTAGAAAAACAGTTCAGAGAGAAATAAATAACTTTGAAGTTAGAGTCTAGATGCCTTTGACGTTTCATCCCCAATCTAGTCCACTAACATAGTCTTCCCTCATTTTAAATGTCACCTGGAAATATCAAAAGACATTTAAGTTTCATGGTACACGTATCCCATGTAATTTACATAGATTTCTTGTGTAATTTTGGAGAAAGATGTTTGTCTAATATTGACAAATACAATAGCGTTAAGAATAGAAGTAAATACGTTTTTAGACATTTGATAAAAGGGAGGAGGGACTCAACACACGTGGTTCCTATCTTACCACTATTTTAAGCTTGTCCAAAATTATTCAATATTCTTGATTCAATGGCAATTAAACTATAGAATAGGTGCAATTTTAAAAAAGGAATGTTTCTCTTTATCCTCTGGGTGATATTTTTCTGATTGTTTGCATAGTATTATCCATTTTCTCTAAAAAGTACTTCACATTTGTGGGTGTGTTTACAATGTGCTTGTTTGAATTTTATAACTAAGCTTAATTTTTAATACATTACCGTATGCTTGGCCCCCTATTCCAGGAGAAATTTAACTGCCTATGCAGTTGTGTGCTTCACTCACATGGTTAGAATGTTGCATCTGCTTAGCAGCCTCAAGGCAATGCTAAAATCGAGTTTTAAGACAGGAAACTTGGAAGAATAGTGTGTTTGCTTGCATTTGCAGAGGATATTTCTTTTCAGTGCCTAAACTGAACCAAAATTATTGAATCAATACACTTTTTGATCTTTAAAAACTATGGAAGCAAAAAGGCTGCTTATTATTAATGGTAAATGAATTGTTGAAAGCAGTTATACAAACAGGTCAATTGGGTCAGTTTTTCCCTGCATTGATCTCCAATAACCATTTATGAGTGATACAGGAGACAGATTGCTTATAAATTTAGTTCAGAATACTTTTGAAAAATAGAGTACAATGACATCGTGTTTTGTCTTAAACTATTCCCTGTCAGGACTACTCATGGTTACAGGATATTGTATTAGAATTACACACAGCATAATGTCAACCATAATTTCCCACTCTGCTAGAAAGAGAGAAGGTTGTTCACTCCTGTCCTTGATAAGCTCTTATTTATGGCAAATAGCTTTTGAAAACTTAAGCCCATTGATTTTCTGAAAATATGTAAATTAAGAAGAAATATCCCCAACAGAGAAGATGTGGACAGTTCTTATTATGAAGAAACAGTCTCATTTCTCTCCTTCTATGGAGACACATTTGAGTATGGAATAATTTTCAAGTAAGTTTTGAAAGAAACAGGACAATGTCTAGGTGAAGTGTTTTTCTTTCTCCAAGTTATGTTTCCAGTCATTCTAGCCTTTACAAGATTCTGTTGTGTAAGGACTATGATGACCTGTTGACAGATTTAGGAGCAGAAAATACTGTAAGTTATTTATTAAAGACTATCTTTGTTATTGTGTACTATTTAAAAATGCATAGTGGTGGAGCCCTCTAAAAGTATTCTTTATGTAGGAAACTAAGAAATAGAAGCTATCAAAATTTAGAATCATTAGACATGAGGCCAGTTATCAGAGTCTAAGATCAATTGCCTCCATGCTTGGAGTAAGTCAAACACACAGCTGTGATGTATTTGTTATACAACTTGAACCTATGTGTTTAATGTCATGGACCTTTCAGAGAAATATGATATTGATGAAACTGAGTTTTTAATGTTTGCTGAAATTCTTTCTTGGCATCTTTGATGTATGAAGATAACACAACTGACCTGCTGGCTCCATGACAGGAGGTCAGTGCACACCATAGTCTGCTTAGATTGTTCATTTTTAAAAGCAATTTTTATTGAGGCAATGAAACAATGTCCCATTTGTGCAATATATACCAAAACTCAAAGAAATATATTCATCAATTTTCACATTTTTCAAATATGATCATTGACTGTGTTTCTTGACGCAATATTTTAGAGAGATGTGGATTGTAATTCAAATGTTCTTTTTTTTATAAGAGTTACCTGGAAAGATGTCATGACTGCTATAATTTAAGTACCATGACTTTTTTAATTCCTACAGATTTCACTTTGAAATGTGTTTATTATTGCTGTTAAACCCTCTTCAACAATCTTAGTAAAACTTAAAAAAAAACACCAGGGCTCATTAAAATCCCATGGGAGATAAATTGTATTATATGCATTGTTCACACAGAGTAATGTATAAAACATTTGGTTCCCTGTTGATTGAAAGAACAGATGCCTGTGCAATTTATCAAGCCATAAATACACCTACAATAACTTATAAAAACATGAAAACAGTAAAGTATTTAATGACATAATAAGTGGAGAATGTAGTTCAAGAAATAGAGAGCTTAAGAGACTAAATTAGAGACTGAATTTTGCAGCACAGAAATTTTGAAAGTTACTTAATTGTATTCTTAAAACATAAAAATTCGACTGGTTTTATAATATAACATTCTAGACAAAAAAAATGAAATGTATTGTTTCAAGTGAAACACAATCTTAAGAGCCTACAATGGCATTTTGTGTTTAGCTTTTTGTTATTGTGTATACTAGATCTCTTTGACTGAAAAAAATTTAACAATTTGCATAAATAAGAAGTCTGCTTCTTTTCAAAGTTTCTGATTTTTTTTCCAGAAAAAGAAGACTTCTTTATTTCCAATACATGTATTCTTTTCAATTTTCAAAGATTAATTCATGTTGTTAAAATTACTTTGGATTTATGTTAAAATATCTGTCCTTTCCCAGTCAAGGGAGGAGTCAACTGTTATTACACAGTCCTGGATCAAGGACAGGACATTTCTTTTATAAAGAAATAAATGCTGCCCACCGTGGCCATGCCACCATTTGTAGACATGACAGGACTCTACATTCTTCATAAATAAGATCCTCACTTCAACTCTGGTTCAATAGTTTATTACAGTGTTTATTCTACATTCACATTACTGTTATTTTAAGTCATTGTGAGCTCTATGAAAACATAATTTAACTCGAAGTAATTTTTCTTATCAATGAGTTATTTAACTCTATTATTAAAAAGTCACAGGAATAAGCAACTAAAGAATGCTGAGCGTAGGCAAAACAGTTTTCCTCAGAAAAGAGCACACCAGTTAGTAAACAATTCCAAATGATGGATTCTCCATAGTAGAGTTTAGTGGGAGCAAAAAAGAAGGGAGAAATTTGTGTGATTACAAATAATTACTTAAAAAATTAAAAATACTTTGGATATCACAACCTGATTTATTTAAAATAGTTCTTGAGTTTATGGAAAATGATGTAAGTTCTGTTTCTTCTTTATCTTTCTTCTTCTTTCCCTCTTTTCTTGTTTTAGGAAGAACTATTTCAAAAAAATTCATACAGCATATACACAACAAACCAGAAAGGAAGGGAGAGACAGACACAGACAGAGAGATTGAGAGAGAACTGACAGAGTTCTCTAGTGGATACCGTTTTTTTTAAATGATGACTGGATAAATTTCTAAAGCACATTTGTGCACATCTGTGTGATATAATGGTTTAAATTAAAGCAATGTAGGACATAAGCCCAAGGACAAGCAACCATTTTGACAGATGATCAGGAATCATCACCATCCTCCACTGCTATAGTGCTGATGAGAAAGACAGATACATTAGGTTAATCAAGGGCTCCTAACTTTAGAAGAGTGTAAGATTAATTGTTACTTTTACATAGACATCAATCGTCTTCAGAAGTACCTGTCTAGAAAGAACTCTTCCTGCCTGTCAGTCACCACCACCTACCAGCCAGGTAAGAACACCACTGCTACAGAGCATTCTAGCTTGCTGGGAATGCAGTAGAGCATCCTGGCTTTCTGACATTGACAATATGCAATTAAAAGTAAATGTTTGTTGTGTATAGTTATAAGAACATTGTATATGGGCATATGTATCTGTATATGAGAATTTCAATTTTAGAGTTTAAAAGACAGTTTTTTTAAAAAAAATGGGAAAAGCATTAAATACTTAGGAGACCTGGACTTAATTTGTCCTTTAAGTAATGATTGGAAGGAATGCTAGACTTCATAGAGTATCTGTTACATGGAGTTTTACGGAAACTAGGTGGTCTAGATGAGAACAATTTTATTATGCAGATTTTATCCAGGCAGAGGGCTTATATAACCAAGCTGTGTGGTCAGTCCTGAGCCACTGCTTAACTAGCGTCTAGTGTTCTTCTTATGCTCATTTTGTCATGTAATCTCAAAGGTGCTCACGGAAGCACTGCACAGAAAACTTTACAAGTAGAGATGATATGTAGACTTGAACTACCGACATGTTTAAAAATTCTGCAGACGATAACAAACAGCTATTCTAAGGCAAGAAATGCAAGCAAAATAATATTTGTAGGGTATTACTCAAACATGGTAGTATCTATCATAAATAGTCCCAC